AAAAAAAAACTCCCAATAGCTTTTTCTGGAGGTGTGATGTATAAACAATACCAACTTTTGCTTTAGAAAAGCAACTAAGCTGGTATTAATTAAGAATAGCCGTTTCTGTAATTAAATTAAAAAGTTGACTCATTGTGTTGCTACCATAGATAAATCCTTTTTGAATGGTTTTACACCATAATCCTCAATGAAGTATTAACAATCTTTGCGAGACCGAGAATCTCTGTGAATGCATAATATTAATTCGTCTTCAGTCTGTACTATTGAAAAGCAAACAAGGTGAAGTAAGCTCTTCTGCAGTAAGTGGGATTGAATGGTTGTTATACTGGTGTCCTGAGTTCTTCAATTTTCTTTTCCAGTCTTTGTGTTCAACAGCATCACCAGCATAAATCTACTCTCCTGTTTCTTTTTCTTTCAGTTACACAGTGGCAAGAAAAGACGTCCATGAGCTGGATGCTAACAGCATATCCAAGCCAGAGTATTCCACTAAGAGAGGTAGAGTACAGCATTACTGGTGGCTTTGGTGTGGTTGTGTAACTTGAAGGACCAGTTCAGTGATGTTCTGCCTTCGTTCTAGGGCATGAAGAAGCACAGCTCTTCTTGAAGGCTCGAACTGTCCCTGAAAGCTGGAAGATGGATATGAGTGAGATCCTGGAGTCCTCAAGTAGCGATGAAGAAGATGGGGGACGAAGGGACAGTGAGGATGATGAAGAGAAGGAAGTAGAAGTGGAAGAGGTAGGATTTTAAAATGTGCTGAATGTCGTGAATCTCAAGACCCCCCTTTTTATATTGACTCATCTGTGCTTGCTGTATAGCGCGTTGAAGCTTGATGAGGTGTCGCAGTAACAACACGTTCTGCGAGTTTGGCTAACGAGGGATGCTGGTGAGGTGTCAAAAAGGGAAATCAAGAATTACTGGGTATTGGGGTACTTGTGAAAGCGGCCTAAATGTTTTTGCACTTCTTTATAGAAATAAAAATGAGTGGTATTGGTATCTAGCTGGCGTATTTGGATTCCTCTACTTTTTACTTTCTATTTGGTTTATTTCTAGTTGCTGAACGAGAGCCACAAATGATGAAAGGCTGCAAATGAACTTAGCTGTGTTACAAGGTTTTAGATAAGTGTTGGATAATTTTCAGTGGGTGAACTGTATCATGTATGAGTTTAGGTGTTTTTAGAAGTGGGTTTGCTAAAAAATGTTTTTGCATTGTCTTCTCAGAAATAGAAGTTTCTTTTTTCCTTTAACACAATGTTTGGGTCTGCTTTTCTAAAACGCAGAAATTGATGTCTTGGTCAAATACCCGTACTCTAGTTTCCCGAATTGCTGTAGTCTGTGAAAATGTTTGAGCTACAGAAAACAACAATAGAGCTTATTCTTCCTGTTCTCCGAGCCAGGCAGAATGGTTGTACACATGGCTTCCGACAGCGTTTCCATGGCAACACACTGCTGGCTTTCATTGAGAGCATGCTCTAAAGATAGGAGAGCTTAGCTGAAGCTTGGCTTCCTGCCTGTGGGTGTTTGCCAGCTGCCTTTAAACGAGGCAGTCAGACTTGCTTTCCTCACTTGATGTTTAATTTGCTGCAGACGTGCAGCTTCAGAAACGAGAAGTGTAGCCATGTAGCACTGTGTTTAAAATTGGGAGGCTCAATTTGGTTTTCCTGCTCACAGAAGTAAGTTTTGACCCCACATTACTGTGAAGGATTTGAAACCAAAACTGTCGTCTTTGTGTGTTAATTATTTACAACATAATTGGAACAGGTTTTCTTTCCATTGTTGGAAAGAGTTTTTTCTGTCTTTGGTGTTTGCATTGGTGTATGCTCAAAGTACTTGGCACGTATTTCAAAGAAATGTACTTCACTAGCAGAATTGCCATTGTAAAAAGGTATTTTTTCTCAATTAACACTAATTTAGCCTTTATGTATTCATGTTTGTGAGGTTTGTGTTTAGTCAATAGTAGAAAAATGTTTCACTCAAGGTTCACGGCTATATAGTAGGGTTGGATTGTTGGTTTTTAATGCCCTATTGTGTATATAAGGTGTTGTGGGTCTGAAGAGGCTTTGTAGAAGTTTTGGAGGTGCAGCAGAACTCAATGTGTTACAAAACATTTTGAGTTCTTTAGAACAGACCTGAGGTGCAAAATTACTGCAGCTGAAAATTTTGGGTTTGTGTTTTAGCAAATCAAGTAATGCATTCTATATGTTCAAAACTGAATCTAATGTTATGAGATGTTGTTTACAGTATTACCTAGTCTTGCAGAACAAGAGCTGACATGATGATATTTTGAGAATGGTTTCGCAGATTGTGCTGAAGTCAGTCTGATGTCTCATTTCTCTTGGCTATCTGATCAGCTCTCTTCTCGGGTGCTGTAAAGCCTTAAAAATTTTTCATAAAATTGTATTTTTTTTCTTTTTCCCATAAAATATTTGATTTGAAACATGCTGAGCAACGTTTGAACAGTTAAGACAATCTGTATATTAATTCTAGCTATTGTATTCACTAAATTATACAAAAACAAATTCCCTGTAGCTTCTAGTCTGAACAATAAAAGTAACTCTTCATGCTTTTTTTTCTAGTGTAGAAGTGCTGGTTTTGTTAGCACCCACCTGGTTTGGAGCCGCCAGGTGTGTGAGTCTGGGCTCCCGACAGTGACACTGGTGTCCACCCAGGGACCAAGGAAGTGCTCCTCTGGCCCCCCTTCCTTACGAGCTCTGCAGGGACATAACAGGCTGCTGAGCAGTCGCCGGAAGAGGGGCGCGTCAGTCACTGGCGTCGCCACAAGAGGCGGGTCGCCCCCAGCCCTCTCCCCAGCTGCTGGGGCAGTCCCAGTGGCTGTCAGACAGGGGCGTAGTGCAGGGAGCACACTACCTGGTCACGCCTTTCGGGAGCCCTCTTTTTATCGTAGGGCTTAGGAGTTCCTGTGCCTTCGTTGCGAAGTACAGAGTGAGTGTGGGTGGATCATAGCGGTGGTGTGGACTGAGTTTTGCAGCAGTCCTGGTGAGCATGTGGAATAGGCAGCAAAACAAGGAGCAGCTTTCTAGAGGGCGCTTATCACACAGCTACAAGCCAAAGGTCTTAGTGCACCCTGCCCACCGTTCGGTGACCTGTGGATTTCTGTCCCACCTGAACAAATAGGTTAGTGAGGAAGCAAAGTGTCCTGACAAGTCCTGAGCGTTGAGTCACTGTGGGGCTTGTGTGAAGTTTCCTCTTGGGTGTTGTGATATTGACCTTGGTCTGTGGAGTATGAGACATATTTCACACAAAGAAACCCACAACAAAGCAAGGGGCCTTTGTAAAGAAGGTGGAAGTGTGTTATGCTAATATCCCCGTCCTTTGGGAAACCATTGTAAGCACAGTGTTTTACTGTGCTGACAGACTTTAACAACGTTATTTATGCAGTTGGTATTTTTAGACCAAAAGTGTAGCTGTCTGCCTTTTATTTTGTAATGCATTATTCATCTTTGAATTGTATTCTGATTTGTCATGATACTCTCTTCATTATAAATTCACTCCGCACATGTCTTCTGAATCTTCAGGCTTTAAAGGAAAGCACTTTAGTCAGCTGACAATGTATATGGAATACTGCCTTAGAAGGAACTGGAGAACTTTCTCTGGCTCTAAAGCAAAGTCATTTTTACAGACCTCTAATATGTTAATATTCCTTAAAATGCTTTTGAAAAAACTGTTATGTGTTGGCTATAAAATAGCTGTAACACATTAGTACTGTCGCTGAATTATTTAGACTAAGTGTATTATACAGATGAAAGGGGGAAAACATCCCTGATTGTGATTAATTTGCAAGATGAGTTCAGTATTTCAGGTAATTGCAGCCATTTTTATCTCATTGGAGAGCTTGCTCACTATTGTCAGCAACTGTTTGACTCTGTAACCTTCTTGTCTCTTTAAAGTAAGTAAAACCTGTTTTCCTTTCCAGTGCTGTTGTGAAAGGATTTGTACAAAATGCAGAATACACCTTTTAGCAGGATCGTGCATTTTACTGAGAGAAAAGGCCTTCTGCCTGCCTGCTTTTCTAAGTGTACTTGTGCTGAGACTCTGGCAGAAGTACAGTTCTTGAGTGCAAGTGAGGATGAAGCTGATGATGAGGATGATGGCAGGCGGGTGTGACCTGTGTGCTTGTTTGTTTACAGCCAGAAGAGGAGCCTGACCCTGAGGAAAGAGACCACTTCCTGCAGCAGCTCTACAAGTTCATGGAGGACAGAGGTAAGGTCTGCTCGGGACTTCCTGACTCTTGCAAGCCACTGACGGCCAGATCAGCTGGCTTGGGTTTGACTCGCTGGGTTGAGGTTAATGCTTTACTTGGGCTCTCGTAATTAGATACTGCAGGCTTAAGAATGTCATTTCACTTGATTGTGGGTCGTTATGGCAGCACGATGAAAGATGAATAGGTTGCCACCTCGAATTCTTTGCAGTGCATGGCACTTTCTACAGCCCCCTAACAAAATATCAAGTGTTGAAAGGTAAAATTTCTGAAATCCCTGAAATTAAATTCCTGACTTCATCAACAGCATATCGACGTAAACCGTAGGTTACAAAATGCTGCCAAGCAATTTTCTTGGCGTTTTTTACCTACAAAATGCTTGTTGTGAAGATGGCTCAGTGCTATTTTTCCACAGTTTTTCAAAGCACACATTTAACATGAATCAGCAATGATTTTTCCCACAGCTTTGTCACTTGGCATGAATTGGATTCTGGGCCACTGTTGGCCTGTGGCCCCTGCTCATGTAATATAAATGTTAGGTAAAGCAATGTCCAATGTTTGTGGTTCACAGGGACTCCAATTAATAAGCCCCCTGTTCTTGGCTACAAGGATCTGAACCTCTTCAAGCTTTTCAGGCTGGTGTATCATCAAGGAGGATGTGACAATGTGAGTGAAATGTGCATTTGTGCAACTTGATTGACTAGATTTTTGCATACTGAACATTTAATGAAACTCTCACTCTATACATGTGTGCTTTGTGAAAACTAAATCATGCAGGTTGTGTATTGATTACATGTTCATGGTATCATTTTCATCAATTGATTATTCATTACTGACTGTGATACTCCTTGGTGTCTTACAACTGTTGCATGCCAAATCACCACAGTAGTGAGAGAGTTGCTTGGGAACAGGCGAAAGGGATTTAATCTTCCAAATGTCAAGCTTGGTGAGAAAAATAAAGGAACCAATATGCGCCACTTATCAAGACAGTAGAGCCTGTGACAGTTATGTGAGAGTTAAGCTATCGATGCCCTGCTTGCCATTGGACATTTGTGGGTTGAGCTAGGATGTGAGACAACTACTGCTCCTAGACTAGTGAACATGCTCCTGCTTGTACATGATCTATGAGAGGAATGGAGCAGAATCCCTTAAGACTACAACCTGGTGCAAAGCATGATTCACTGATGTTGTCCCTTTTGCTGTAATGATCACACATGCCACAGTGTCACAGTAGACATCTCATTGATGACTGATGTTAATCAGTGTAATGAATTTACCGAAGTTGTTTGTTCAATAAAATGTCAGTGCACCTGCTGCATAAGATCATCACTTTTCTCGGTCATGAAATTGTTGCAGCTGAAAGTGCTAGGTTTTTGGAATGTGTAAATGCTTTTAATGTCTAAACATAAGTATTACATGTCATTAGTTTACTTTTACAGCTAGTTTACAACTTGTTTGATGGATAATTGCAGATTGAAAGTGGTGCAGTGTGGAAACAAATCTATATGGACCTTGGGATTCCTATTCTGAACTCTGCCGCCTCTTACAATGTGAAGACTGCCTACAGGAAGTAAGTTGAATTCGTAATACATTTTAATTTGTTGTAGATGTAGACTCTTACCACTCATATTTCAAGTAGTTAGTGAATTACTAATTGCGAATGCCTATCTATATATATAATGCGAAAGAAAATCTGAATCTGCCTGTGTATAGATGCCTTTTCCATCCTGGTGTTTTTCCAATAACTAAATCATAACGAACTATCGAAATTCTGCATAATAGCAGAATACTTGTTCCCAGGCCCTTCAAATCGAGTATATCTTGTCTATTCTCATTTCTTTCTGATGTTAAGTTTGCTTCTTGCAGTTGTTGAGCTCTTGTTGCGATGAAGTACGTTTCCGTTCTTCTGTCCTGCAGTTTCATGGTGTACAATCCTCTTTTGCCACGCAGGTACCTCTATGGGTTTGAGGAGTACTGCCGATCAGCGTGTATAGAGTTCAGGACCATCCATCACAATGATCCCAAGCCCGCAGTCAAAGTGGAGAAAAAGGCTGATGTGACGGAAGTAGAGAAGGATCTGGAGGAGGAGGAGGAGGAGGTGTCCGAAGACCAGGAAGAGACGGTGGGAGAAGAGGCCTTGACTGGAGGAGAAGAGAAGCCCCTGGCAGAAGAGTCCGACTCCAGCAGCGAGAGTGAAAAAGAGGAGCAGAAGGAAATCCGCTACCCCAGGGTCAGGAGGTTTTTCTTGTTTCCAGAGAACAAGAAAATACTTGATGCTGTAGTCGGTGTTAAACCATTTCAGGCTACTTTTGGGATTGTTGTTTTTGTTTTGTTTTTTAATTTCCATAGTCTGTAAGCGTTATGGTATCTTTACCCCGGTGTTAAATTAGGAGGCAGTGAAACATAAGTTCGAACAGCACATGTATTTTTAATTTTAAGAGGTTTGACTTTTTACCGTGCTTTGACTTCAAGTAATATTGCAAGTTGAATCAAAAAGACTGAGGGTAGCGGTGAATCTGTGCAGGAGTCTGTACTACTTCGTTCATAGATAAAAATAATCACATCGCATGAATAATATTTGCATAATTGCGTACAGATATTATAGAATGCTTTTGAGACTGTAAGACAAATGTTGAAATGCTTTCTGTGCCTTGTGAAATGCTTTCTGTGCACATTTAAATGGTCACATTTCACTGTAGCTGCTACAGATGCCGTGATGAATTTGACAGTCATTCATGTGCAAGTTTCTCCTTCTGCAGGGGAGGAGGAGGTGCACGGTGACCCCTGTCAGATCTGAAGGAAAAGATGCCATCAAACTGGAGCGAGTGAAGGAAAGTGAGCAAGCGGACGAGGTGGGAGACGGGAAGAAGGACCGGCAGGAGAGCGAGATTCCCGGGAAGAGAGGGCCGCCGAGAGCCAAGGCAGAGCGGAGGAGCAGGAGGCTGGAGGAGTCGGACAGGGAGTCCGAGGAGGAGGAGCAAGACGAGCAGCAGCAGGAGGAGGATGAAGAGGAAGAAGAAGAAGAAGAGGAGGAGGAGGAGGAGGAGAGAGGAAAGCCGATAGAGAGGTCACTGCACTACTTCACTTTTCTCTGTTGAGAAAATAAAGGGCATGCACACAGCAGGTTTATTTAATGTTACGGTGTGGAAAAAGCAGAAAAAATGTATTAATTGGCACCGCAGTCTGGATTTCTTCATCACCGATTTCAGTGCTTTTTATTTAAGTCACTTAAGATTTCTGTGACTTGCAGCAGAACTACTTCATCCAATTGGATTATTGAATGATGATGCAGTTTAACAGTTGTAGCCATTGAGGTTGTGCTATCTAGTGCGATTTGGGATTTTAACCCAATCTGAATAAAAAGGCACATTTTTAAATGGCAGAAAATGTTCAGTCTTCCGTAGGTAGCCTATTCTCTCGACGAAACATTTATGTACCTGTTCTTTCTACGCATTAGGACCGAGAAAGTGGATAAAGTGTTTTTGTTGGCCATTCCCTTTGTGACAGCAATATGCTACAAAGAATGGTGTAAGAAGTGAGACAGGCGTGTAAATGAGCATTAAAATGCTGTGTGGAGGTGCGAGTTTAGCAGCAGAACAGAGGGAAAAGTCACCTTTCCAGGCAGAATTAGCACACAGGCCCCTGCATCCATTCATCAGTCTCACTTTTCTTTATCCAGGGGTGAGAGAGAGAACAAAGAGGAGGCTGAAGAGGATGGGGAGGAGGATCATTGCCTCACTGGGACTAAAGTAAAAGTAAAATATGGCCGGGGGAAAACTCAGAAAATCTATGAAGCCAACATTAAGAACACTGAAATGGATGATGGAGAGGTTCTGTACTTAGTGCACTATTATGGATGGAATGTGAGGTAAGCATAAAGCTGGGTGTTTCTTTCAGCATTAATTCAAGTGGCACTTGAATAGCAAAGCTGTGCGTTAGATATATTTGTGTTCTTGTCATTTCTGGAGAGTGATGTAGATCTTTGTTAAAAGGCCTAGTATTAGTATGTCTGCTTTTCACAGCGCTTTGTAAAGCTCTTCTCAAGAAGCACACTGATGCTTCTGATGTTCCTGGCATCATGCAGTGAGATTTGGAGTTGGTTGCTAGCTGCTAGCCTTGGGACTTTGTAATGTTATTGGAATGAATGGCTTTCATAGTGCTGTTTCCATGTTTGTTGTGTAGGTATGATGAGTGGGTGAAAGCTGACAGAATTATCTGGCCGGTGGACAAAAGTGGGACAAAAAGGAAGCAGAAGAAGAGAGTCAAGGTGAGGTGGCGTGCAGACGGCGGCGAATGCTTTTAAAGGAACCGTCAGCTCGAAAATCCTTTGCACCTCTCCAAAATAATTGTTGTTTTTTGCTTCTTAGAATAAAGATGAGGGTGAGAAGGAAGAAAAGAAAGAGGAGGAAAAACAGAGCAAGTCCAAACGGGGTCGGCCCCCCCTCAAGTCCACCCCTCCCAATTCCTCTCGGAGTGTCTCCAAAACGCCCAGCAGTGATGGCAGAGCCAGCTGCAAGAGCGCACGCCTCTCCGACGCGTCTGCGCTGCCCAATGGCGTCGAAGGTATTCCTGCTTTCTAGCTTGCGCTTTCCGCTGTTCGGAAAGGGTGTTGATTTTTCTAGTTCGCGGTTGTTCCTGAATGGGTCCCAAGGCCGCCTCTCTGTTCGCCAAGACGTGCGTTTGGAGTTGTTTTAGCACATGTTTATAGGTAGGAATATTGGTTTTCAACAGAGTAAGCTTTTAAATTTAAACCTGAAACAAGCAGCTTAATTTTCTGGTTTGGTTAGCTTCATGATTTTACAGTCTAGAATTATAATGAGCTGGTTTTATAACAAAATAGAAGTATGTTTTTGAAGAAATGTTTTGTTTTCCCTGCTTAAGGGTCTTAAAGGAATTGGACCCTTAAGCAATTGCTAAAGCTCTGAGTGGGATTCACAAAATGCGTTTTCTTTTATAGGAACACCTAGAAGGCGGACAAGGCGGACGTCTGGAATGACTTGTGATTCTGATAGAGGATCCAACGGTAAGGTCTTGTTCGCCGTAACATCGGGTTCATACTTCAGTAGCACAGGAATACCATGTTTGTATGCAGATGAATATTTCTAGGGTGCAGAGGACCTCTTTTACTCTAGAAACACAGGGCAGTAGACATTTGGGCTAAGCACATTTCCTGAAAGGGCAATTACTCTACATTTATTTTTGAGAATATTAGTGTTCTCTAAATCGGTGGAGGTATGCAGATATCAGCCTAGTATTGAAAAGGGGAGAAATCAGCCCAGTTGTGGTCGGTGGTGTTTTTGATCGTTATTCTGCTGACACTTCCCAGTAGGAGAGAGAGCTGGCGGCAGCCTGAGAGAAGGTGCACGATGCTTTCAACAAGTTGCCTGATATTCTGCAAGATACAGTCAGGCTTCAAAACCAAAACCTTTTCCTTTCAGTAATTGTCAGTTTGCTGTTCTGGACGTTCTCTCTTAAAACATTTGCAGATAGATATTAATTAAAACGATATTTTAGAAGTAGTTGACTGCTCCTGTTTCAGCTTGTTTCCGTTCATATCCCTTTTCAGTGTTAATGATACTGTCATTAATGGTATGAATAAGTCACTGTTTATGACATTTATCTTGTGGTCATGTTGAAAGTGTTTATTTCATATGTTAGTTGTGACAATTTATGGAAAAAAAAATAAATCGACAGTTCCTGATATTTATAATGGTACAGCTTTGAGAAGTATTATTCCTTTAGGAAACAGTTATACAATGTATACAAAAGTTGACCATCAGTTAGATATTATACCTACAGTATACTGTAATGTGATATGTAGCACAAATAGTATTAAAGCGTTTGGCTTATTTTCCTTATTAAGCATTGTGAAGAGTAAGTGTATAGTTTCAGTAGCATGGTTCATTGTCTTTTTGGATCTTAAACCTGAATGTAAAAATAAAGCTTCATTCTTGTGCTGCTATCGACAACTTTTAATTGGGTGATTTCTTAGTATTTAAGTATCAAAGAATCAAAGAATTTCAGAAATATATTTGAGAGGGCTTATTTGCTGCTTTCCTTTTTAAAAATAGTCAACATCAAGCACTGGGCATAATTATCACTTGCAAAACTTGAGCATCAACTTTAATTTTTAATATCGTTTTCAGGGTTGTCTGACTTGTTCGATTGGTCAAAAATTGTCTTAGTTAGTACATTGTTTTTACTATATTAAGCGAATAAGTAATGAAGTAAAAGAACTAGGTTACAATATATCTTTAATTCAGTGTTACCATAGAAGGAAAACTATTTTTTTTGCTGTTGCTGTCTTTTTGCTGTGATACTGATCCTAATATTTCTCCCTATAAGATTCTGGTAATTCGTCAGAAGAAAGTGAAGCTGAGGACACTCCAGGAAAGAAAGCAGACCGGGCAGATATCCCCGACGCCGCACAGGGTGGTGAGGCAGAGGATGACAAAAGCAGCGCTGAGGAGCGCGAACTGGAGCAGGAATGTCCCAGAAGCCCCCAGGAACAAAGGCGAGAGCCGCCTATGCTGTCCGAGGAGGAAGAGCAGGCAGAGGAGTATGTGGTCTTGGAGCAAGATAAACCAATAGAGCAGCAGAAAGAGGAGGAGACGGGCAGAAAGGAGACAGAGAAATCCCCAAAACCCAGGGGGAGGCGGAGCAGGTCCAAGGAACCCAGTTCAGAAATGAGCAAGCCCCCCACGACCAACCACACGGAGAGCACAGACACCTGCCTTCTAACGCCCGAGAAGGCAGAGCCGGCAGAAATCGCAGAAGCCTTGGAAGATGCTGAGCAGGAGCTGAAGGACTCCGACACGGACTCGGCCAGTGAGGATGTCTGCAAGGAGGACAAAAGGCCGGTGAAAAGGAAGGCTGGAGAGCAGCAGGTGGCCGACAAGAAGGTACGCTTGGAGAAGAGGGAGGAGCAGAAGACTGTCTCTCCTGAAAAGAAAATGGAAGTCGATGGCATCTTCAGGGGGGGCTGTGAAGACAGTTTGCCGGATGACATTGTAAATAAAATGGAGATGCCTTCCCTCACCCCGGAGGTTGTACCACCCGTCAAAGACGGGACTGAAGTCGGTCCCGAAAAGCCTGCAGATGAAAGTGAGCTGAAAGAGGAGGAAGAGCTCATGCCACAGATTGGCCTTGAAGCCCTGATGTGTCACGAGGTTGACCTCGATGACCTGGACGAGAAGGAGAAGCCCCCAAGCGAAGAGACGGTAGACGACAAGTCTCGGGCTCTGAGCTTGGCGGATGTGGCCGCCGGGTCGCAGCAGGGCTTCCCAGTGGCCTCTCCAGCTGCCGCTCCCAGCCCCGACGAGTCGCACAGCACCAAGAGCGAGAGTGACACAACGATCGAGGTGGACAGTGTCGCGGGAGAGTCTCAGGAAGGCCTGTGTGAGAGTGAGTCTGCCAATGGGTTTGATGCCAGCACCAGCTCCAGCAACTGCAGTTTATCCCTCCAGGAAAGGGACAGCAAAGACAGGGGTGAGTCTGACACCAGTTCTGTCTGCTATCTGGCCATGTGTGAGCTGATTTATCTAGATCAGGGTCTCCGTACCCTAGTCCACTTATGAGTGTTTTGGGATACCCCCAATCCTCTTTCTCTAAAGACTATGAATACTTTTATGTTATTGATTAAACAAATTTGTTCTGTGGAGGGGAGCTCTGCTTCTTGAAGGTTGAAGGGTATTTTGATTTTGTTTTCTTGAGGATCAGTAAATGAACTAATTTGGTAAATTTAACTGATCAATGGGAAATAGTTTCAGGTCTTTATAGAGATTTCTTTCCTGCTAGATATGAGCTTCCCAGGACCAGGTCTAGACACACCCGATCTGGACAAATATGTTGTCTGAATTGCACATTGTGTTTTATTTGGAAAAGGAGCATAACTTTTTGTCCATACTGAAGTACTGTTTATGATCAAATAGTCCAGTTTAAATGTTTAATATCTGATGGTTTTAATGATGTTATTGAAAATTGTTTTTTCCTACCTTTTAATTTAGGTCAGAAGAGGTCAATGGATTGTAATAACAGCTTGTCCGCTAAGAAGCAGAAGCGTAACCAGAAACGCACCAGTGTAGCATCTAAAAATGAGAAGAATGGAGCAGGTGAGTTTCTCTTTTTTTCAGTCTGTTTGCCCCACATGTGCTGAAATGATGTGGTGTAATTGAACACATGTTCTTGTAATGCAGGGCACAGCAGCGACAGTGAAGACCTTCCTGCCATTGAGAACCCCAGCAAGTGCACTCCGGTGAAGCACTCCGGCGTGTCCAAGGCCAACAAGCTGGCCCGGTCTCCAGCCAGGGTGACGTCTCCGAGCAGCAAAGACGCGGACAAGGAGAAACACAGGGAGAAGCATGCTTTTCCTTCCCCGAGAACATACAAGTGGACCTTCCAGCTCAGTGAGTACTTTTTTGGGGGGAGACTTTGTTACTTAACTTAATTTGACTGTCCATTCTGTTCAAATAAATTGAAAATGTTTGTAACAGAGCAGGTACATTTGTCAGTACAATAGCATAGTGATTTTATTTTTTTCAAAAATTTACTTTTTTTCATTCGTGTATACTGAAGATAAAAGAAAACACACTGCATTGTGTAATGTTGATTGTTATAGTATGTCTAAGCCATAGAATAAGAATCTCTCAAAACTTTTGTTGGTACAGCGGAACTGGACAGTATGACAAGTACAGAAAGGATCACCTTCCTGCAAGACAAACTGCAGGAAATAAGGAAGTACTATATGTCACTCAAGTCAGAGGTGGCTTCCATTGACAGGAGACGAAAAAGATTAAAAAAGAAAGAAAGAGAAGGTAAGATTGCTCTTTATTCCACTTGAGCTAGCATGAACCAAACGCATATCTATAAATAATACTTCACAGTTAAGTCTGATATGTTCTTTGCTTTAATTCTCAAACTGCCTTGAGGAACCTGCACTCTGAAGGCCTGTTGCGTCTCGAAAGCTCTGCTGATGCGCCTGTCTTTTGTTAATTGAAGACAGTGCCTAGTGTGCTTTATTGAAGGACTATCGTGAAAAAGAAAGCGATCACTGATCTTCCAGTTTAGGTTGTAATTTAACTGATTTTGCTGTTGGCAGTTTCTCACACGACGGCGTCCACATCGTCCGGTTCCTCCGATACAGGAATGAGCCCGTCCTCGGCCTCTCCCACCCAGAACACAGTTGCAGTGGAGTGCAGGTGATGAAACGCTCCCCTCTGCCTTCCCAGCAATCAGCTGCCTCCATGGACACAAGTACTGAGACTCTGACACAAGCAAGCATTGAAAGCACTCAACTGGATTGACCATGCCAGTCCAATCTCTGTGCACTTTCCCGGCCCTTGTTTGCTTCCAATTTCCAATTACACTTCAGGAATGGGAAGAGGAGTTGAATGTAAACTGGAGATTGGTGAAGCCTTACTCATGGCAAATTATTCTTCATTTTTTTTACAGTATAAAGCACTTTTTTCAGCAAAAACCTTTTTTCCTGGTTCCAGTCAGAGGCCAGCATAGACGCTGTGAATCAGTTATGTGTTCCTTTAGTATCAGTGCTACGCCAATACCAGGCAACCCGTGTGGTGTTTAATTTGAGGAATGGTCACTACTGACCAGCTCACTGTCAGGCCGGTTGGTTAGGTCGAAGGTCATTAAAAGATGCGCTTGCTAAGCAGAACTGCCAAAGTACACGTGTTCAGCCGAGTGCCCTATTTTGAAAAGTGGGACAAAATAAAGTGCGAAAGAGAATATAGTTTACTGAAAACTACAATTATGTCTTCCACTTTTCTAGTATTTTAGCACAGAAAATTATGCAAACTTTTTCAAACTAAATGTTTACAGTGGAATTGGAAAATGTTTTCAGTAGACTAATTCCCTTGGCAGTTTTATTTTGTCTTTTTATATGTAATTGCAGAGTTTATTTTGTTATGGAAAATTTCAAATAAGTATATATCACAGCAGTGAAGTTATTTAATGAAAGATTTCTAGACATGACATTTTGTGTAAAATAAAGGTATTATGTTGTGACTTGTTAAATATATTTATTCAGACAGTGGACATAACATTTTTTAATGTATTTTTTAAAAAAATAAATAAAATAATTGGATCCTCCCAAGCTCAATTTTTACTTTATGGAAAAATTTTTTAATTTGGAATTCACCATACCATAAGCTTACGTGTAAAATCATTTTTTAACCTGTGTATTTGCTTTACACCTTTGAGACACGATCTCTGCGCAGAGTATATTTATATATTTTAAAGGAGCACACCATGTCTGGGGTGGCCTAAGTTTTTTTTCGTTTGTTTGTTTCAACTTTTATACCGATTGCCTGGTACTATTTTTTTTCTTTTTAATTTATGCCTTTTTTTAATTTTGTCCATTGGAATAACAGGAAGTATTGCTACAGGAACATACACGACTGTCCAACCTAGGAATTAACCTGTAGGTGTAATCTTCATTGCATATTTTGTACATAGATCTTCCAAAAACATGTATTTGAAAAATACATTTTACACAAACTGTAAAAAATGAATTATTTTATGATTTTTTTATTCATCTTTGTATATTTAAAACAGCTTTGTGGCCCTTTGTATCTAAATGTTAATATTCTGTAGAGACCTAGTGCAGATAATTTAGACTGTATATACAGAACTCTTGGCTCTACACAGCAGTGGGCCTGAACCAAACCTAGTGTTACGTAGAAATACTAAATATATTGTACATTTTTATGTTTTATAAACTTTTTATTTCATCAACATTGTGAAGACTTACTTCTTTCAAAGATAGTCTTTTTAAATTTCTGGGTGGTGAAGGAAAAAAAAGAAGTCAGATTTCCTAAGAAAAGCCATTGTATCTTTATGTAAAATAAGAACTACATTCAGTTTTAATAAAGATTTCATGTATGATTTTATTTTCTTTTTATAATTGCTAAGATGCTTTGGTCAGTTCTCAATGTAGGTAGACACTTGTTCTTCACTAAGTGATTCAAAACATCGGTACATGAACTCAGTGCTTATTAAATCTTCTGTTTTGAATGACTAATATGCTTCTCAAATGGAATGGATTTCTGAAATAATCAGAACAAGTGGTAACTTAACCAATACTAATTTTTTTGTCTTTGTGACCCCTCTCATATTAGTGCAGGAGTAATCTACAGGATTCAGTGGTTTAAATTATGCTTCCATTTCAGACTGACGATCCTTTCATTCAGAGCTCTTGAACTCACTTCAGCTCCATTACGTATTTAGTCTTCTTCATATGCAGTACTTTTAACCAGAATCCTGGGGGTTCTGTGGATAAGTACCTTTAATGGAGTAAATGTTTTGTGCTCTCAACTGTAAAAGACCTTAAGCACAATCCTCATGTTTGGTTTAAGAAATAATAAATAACTGACTACACACATTGGAACGGAAACGAAAGAACTAGCAATTTTCCGGGACTCCTGCTTTACGTGGAATACATAGACTTCAATGCTAAAAACACACTTGCGTGGTTTTGAGATGGAACTTCTGAGGATGCTCTTTTGTGGTCAAATCACAACTGTGAATTAAAGTTAACACCCATTCAGAGAACAGAAATCATTCAAGAGATTCCATATTTAAACAATAAAATCGAGGTGTTCAGTCAGTGATGTTTCACAGAAAGCAAATGTCTCATTTTTGGAAATGTTAAGTTTGGTAAACTTGTTGTAAAGGCCTTGGTTCCATTTAATTTCCTTCAACAGCTAAAATTATAAATGTCACTACTTTTTTTAAATTAGTTTCTATATAGAAACTTACAAGTAATTTTACACCCTGGTCTAATAGATTTAATTACATCTTTTAAGCAAAACAGGTGCACGGAACATGAACAAAAACAGAGAGAAAATGTTTTTTCCATATGGAACATGACACTGACACCCATACAAGTAACACTGGATAGGACCTCTCTGAGCATGAATATAATCCAGGCAGCACTGGTGCTTGGACCTGATCTGGCTCTGGCCTGCAGCAGTGTCGCACCACCCTGTGTGCAGGTGATGAGTGTTGGTGCTTACCTTCCACCAGGTCTGTCAAGGTTAGCACTGCATTCACCGGTGACTAAAAACCTCCACTACTCTGCCTCCACTTCACATATTTTGTGGCCAAGAAGTAATTTGTCAGCTGTTAATGTTAACTTAACTGGCTTCTAAGCATGCAAATCACTTTAATGCCGACCATGAACTGTAGTTCTCCTGATACATTTCTGATGCTGCTGCCACTGCAGGTCTGAAAAGAGTTACTGCAGTTAGATCACAGATTGGTCCTATGTGATCCTATGTCCTTCAGAGCTGGTTTCCCAGTTTCTTCCTGACAAGTCAACAGATTCCTAAAGCACATTGACTATGTTTTTGGGCAGCATTACTCTCAGAAAGGCATCAGTCCTGACAATCACAACCAGTCTTTACTACTTTACTACTAAAGCGGGTCTTGTGCGTCTTTTTTCTTGTTTTGTCTTTTGACATTTTGATTGCGTATTCATATGAATTTGAAGTCTAAATTGGCAGTTGTAACTGGAATTGAAAATGGAATTGGAATGTCTAACATTCAGTATCTAGTGTTTTTTTTAATGAAAAGGTATGACCTGAGTATCAAAAGGTGTCTTATCTCAAAGACCAGTGCTTCTTCATCCACAAATCTATGTGCTCCCTGTTGAGAATTAAAGTATCAATCTGCGTGACTCCAACAAGCTACTGATGTTAAACTTTAGGCTGCTGTTCATCATGTGTGTGGTCAATACATTCCTTCACTGTAAAACTTTCATACAAGCTCCCAAATGATTGTTAGTCCTGAAATGAGATGCAGGCTGTGATGATGATAAGCCTCAATAAGAAAAGGCGTTTTCTTTCAGTTGGGTGGGGTAAATATTTAGCCTCACTACAGATTTGTAAGAACTGGAACATGGACCTGCACTCAGAAATCAATGAGGTGGGTTTACTCTGACAGACTGGCCAGAGGGCAGATAGGAGTTCCCAGTAAGGCTTGTAGCATCAGTGTCTAGCTCACTCTACCTTGTGCTTAATTCCTGGTGGTGCACTGCAAACCTGTCTCCCCCGCTGTCTCTGGAGCGAGTATCCTGAATTCTGTCTAGTCTCCAGGCTGCAGGAGCTGTGCTTTACTCTGCAACAGTGATGGCTGGTGCAGGTCCCCACTGGGGCTAGATTCTTCTGCTTTTCTGGCTATTTAAAAGCTTACGTAACTACCAACTGAGAGTTAAAGCATTTCTCCAGGTTTTGAGCAGGTACGTTTTTTAACTTCAACCTTGAGCAGCTCTGAGTTTGTAGACTGATGTTTGTACTTGACAAATCGATTTTTAAAAAACCTGTTAAGAGTTGGTTTCACTAAACCATAGACCAATTTCCCAGTTAAATAAACTGTATGAAACTGGAGTTCAAAGGTTATTATTTAGATTAGGTGCGGCCACAATCCTGCAGGTCTTCCTTTAATTTTAAAATTGGAATGACTTGCGAGGTTTCAGGAGTTAAGTCATTGAGAGTTATACTGCGTTGGCATTTTCATTTTAAGCGCTCTATACAGTAAATCACTCCTTTAAACAAATCAACAGCTTAAATTTTGGAAATGAGTGGGCTAACCTGTAAACTGCAGGTTGAGCTGAATCTGAGCCCTTCTCGGTAGCCGATTGTGACCAGGACTTCGCCAGGGGAAGGGCATAATTCTTACTGCTTCACCGCAACACCAGCAGCCTGGAGTTGTTCCAGGTGTTTGCAGTCCAACAGGTTGGGGGCGATGGATAAAGGCTGCTAGACTGTAGCTCTGCAGGACGTGGGGTTTTCAACACGACGCAACAGAATGGCTTCTGACAGGGCTGTCCGATGCTACTCCAAGAGAGCCGACATGTTTAGAGGTTTTCATTCCAACTCTGCTCTTCCTAAACTCAGATCAGCTCATCATTATTATGTGTTGCCAGCTAAGAAGCCTGCAGACACGTCTGCCCATCTCCGGTGTAGTCAAAGACAAAACAGGTCTCGCAATCCTGATTCTCAGAAACGTGCAACGGTTAGCATTGCCTTGATGACGGGGTCAAATGGACTAAATGGCAAAATGGTTCGTGAAAGACTGTCTTTTTTTATAATGGTGTATAAAACCGATGGAAAAAGCTACCTCAAAAGCATTTCATTCGACTTTTCTGCAGGTCATCTATTACAGCGATCATTTTTAATTAAAGTCTCCCAGCCTTTTGCTAGAAAATGAGCCACATTTCAGAAATGTCTACGTGAATAATATTCTCATTTTAGCACATTTTATATGCTTTGAATTACTGTCACTTACAGGAAGTCAAGAAATCGGCATGCTGCTTTAACTGTTGCCGACACATTTTACTGGCACCACTTCTGTAAACAATGGAAAATAAAAGTATTTTCTCATTCTGGAATTTTATTTTTATTAGAAATAAAGCACCCGACGCTAACTTTTATCTTGCACATTACTCTTCCATTTGAGCTACACACGAGATATTTTCAGACTGTTACAGTAATTACGAGTCTCGGTTCCATTCATCATTTGCTTTGTTCAGTTAACATGTTTCAGTTCCCCATAACAGAGCGGCCTGGGAGAAAATGGCAGCACTTGCTCTTCTAATCTTTTTAACATGGTTTTCAACCCACCAAATCTTTTCTCGCTGGAATGCTTTCAGAGCCACATTCTCTCCGTCACTTACTGTAAGTCAAATGCAGAACGAGTTTCTACTGCAAAGTTGTAAAAAACACCTTTTTCATTAAAAAGCGTTAGTTAAATGTATGCAGTAGCCAGGAGCTGGGATTTCTTTTTTACTTTCACAAACCCCAAAAAAAGTCCACAAAAGGAAACAAATCTATGATTTTTGCATTCTAGAGTCAACATGATTCATCAGTGTCACAGTGCGATACCCAGAAGCCATCAGGGCTCACGAGTCCCCCAGTCACCGGCAGGGCTGATGCGAGATCGCTCTCGGCTGGCTCTCCCCGCAGGCGCTGGGCCAGGCCTGGTCTACGCGCCCGTGTCGGCAGTGACACGTGTGACCCCCGGGTGCAGCCGGGCTCTATCGGGGCTGACCCAGCAGGCCCGCTTTGGCAGCTAGGGCCTCGTTCTGCTGTATGTGGTACTCCTGGAACCTCATGGATATCCGCTGAGTCATCTTTAGGTACTTCTGCAGGCAGCTTTCAGAGCAGGCGATCTGGAAAAACAGCGACTGCTCAATCTGCTCAAATCCGGGCAGCGGTTTATCTCACATTGCTCCGTGCGCAATACAGACCCTTTTCAGACGTTCCTGATGTCACCTCAAATACCGTGTGAGCTGATTAAATTGTTAATAAGGGGATAAATGTTATAGGCACACATGCATCTTCTAAAGAAAATATCGGATTTGATCTTACTAGGGAGAGAAGCACTCCGCATTTCCTTTACATTATAATATTAATTCCTGTGAATGATGTCTTAATGTCAAAATATAACTCAATGTATAAAATGCATTTTTTTTGGGTACCTCTTCTTGTTTCACTTCTCTGGTAGTGAAGTCTTTTACACAGTCCATGAAGCACTTTTCTGTGAGCTTGTTGTAGGTTCCCAGAAATTCTTTGAACTGGTAAAAGAAAATTGCAAAGCGTTAGAATATGGACATCCAAAGCAGTAAATTGGACCGAACAGCCTCTCATATGTTCCCTTTCTCACAACACTACATTGGCCATTACACTTGAAAAGCAACATGCGGTGTTATCAAATCAAATCAAAGGTTATTTATCAAATGCACAACAATACAGCGGGCAGCAGTAGGTGCTGGCAATGAAATGTCTTTTCTGCGAGCTCACAAAAATCACAAGAATCACAAAATTGAGGTTACGAAAATAAGGTTACATAATAATAGATGTAATAGAAATTGAATAAAGCTCAATATAAGTCGAGCTGCTATGTGTTTTAATCGCCTAGATCTGCAGTAGTAGGGGGACAAGTGGGGCGCATGGGAACAAGGCTACACAGAGTATCCCAGGACAGCAGTTCTGTGCAATGTTGGCCTGACTTCACTGTGATGGGGTGTTGTGGGCTGCAGGGCCATGTTATTGACGCCGGTACCCTGGCTTCTTCAGTGAAACTGGTGGATAAGAGCCTTGGATCGCTTAGCTTCTAACTACCAAAAGGGGCAAGATGGTCTCAATGGTCTCTTCTCGTCGGGCACCTCTGGTTAGTTTCTTCTGAAGGGAAGACGGGCGGAAACGTCACCTGTTTTATCTGGTCGGTTTCGGTGATCTGGCCAGCCATTTCCTCGCGATCCACAGAGGTGCTGCTTTTGGAGCAAGAAGCAAAAAAAAAGAGCACGTGAAGTCACGAAAGTGCAAAACTGCCAGAACGGTCAGTCTGAAAACACACCATATTGTACAAAGCAAGACCTTCCCAGGTTCAAGACAGTTTCGTTAAAAAGAATAGGCCTGCTTTAAAATGTGCTAAAGATATTAATAACATAATTTATACTTGGCGATTACATTTGCATTTGTTTGCTCGATGTTGTTAAAGTCTGCAATTAACACTAAAATTCAGTTATCAAAAAGCTCGTGGGACTTAATCGACTTTAAGAGTTACTTTATTGCGAACCTCCTACGCATTAACTCACAAACAGCAATCGCTTACTAAAGCGGATTCAAAACATCAACAACTCAGGTTTTTTTAATAGCAAATGCATACAATAATCAATACAAGCACCGGCTCTGAATGTCAAAGGGCCTATCTGCACTGGGAAAAAATTAAACAAAATATACGTACAAATCTCCGATCCAAAATCTGTAGATATCGCGTTTGGTAAGACTGTGAAAATACCCTAACTTCTTTAAATTTAAATTCTAATCTTGGAAAAACACACGGATTGATGCCTGTCACCTTCCTACGGAAAATACGAGCTAGTCTAGTCATTCACCATTCAACAGAGGACATGTGAGTTTTACTACGGCAGTATGTCCGATAACCCCACAGCACTTTCTACACAATCTTTAATATCTTAGATGTATCGCGATATATATAGAAAGAGTAAAAAGTAAAATAATAATTTATATATAAGTAAAAAATCAGGAAGATTAAAATTATATTTTTATTGAAAATAATCTTGATCGTTGAAACGTTCGGCAGTTGTTCTCAGGTGAATTTACTTGCTGTTACGTAGCACCAGGTGTGTTACTTTATATACAATCCGATGCAGCAACTAGTGGTGTAATTTATATACATAAAGTTTTCATATACCTAACGCTTTTTTCCCCGTCGTGGTTGTATTTCGACTTAGAAATGTGCACGAACATATTGGTACAATGTCTGCTACAATTCAGGCATTATTGTAAAATGTTAACTGCTCATTTGTGTTTCTGTAGTTCATTAAAAAAGATGTTACATGAAGATGGGCAACTTTTTTGTTTTATAAATAATACGTCTGTTAACACTATACCATCTCACAAATGTTTATTTGATTACTGAAGCTATAAAATGTCATTACGTAAATTATGTTGGTGAATATTATATATTTAATTCTGATGAGGCCACTTTGTATCTGCCCGTGTTTCCTCGGGGACTATAAACAAACGCAGATGTGCAGTGACGCTGACCGTTTCCAACTGAAACTTTCCAGTAAGATATGGTTCGGAGAGTCGATTTACAAAAAGCTATCAGAAAACAGAAACATATTAAGTTTGCAATTGCTTTACTTGTGTTATTTTTTATATAGGTCAGTGGGTTTCATATCGACATTTTAATATCGGCAAGTAGGAGAAGGAATCTTTGAATTCGCGGGATATTTGTATTTGTATGGCTCTGGAAGTCCACAGGCTAGTTTCGGGCAGCTTTTGTTGTTTAGCGATTTAATGTGACAAATGAATGAGAACTTCGAGAATATTTTTCTGAACTCATGGATGACTGATAAAGCGTTTTTTTGAGCGAGAGTGAAATTAATTACGCCGCGGCTTCTGTCTTTACTCTGCGTGAACTACTCAGGTTCGTGTTGCAAATGTGTTTTAGTCTGAGGTGCCGAGTTCAAGGGTGAATGTAGATGAACTCGATGAGTGATGGATCACGGTCTTTCGCAGGTAGACGAGTCCCTGACGTCCATTATTACTGAACGGGCGCAAGAAAGTCTAAACAGTTCCAGTTTAAGCTCCAGCGCCGGGGATGTTTTAGTGAGATCAACTAGCGTTCAGGCTAGCAATCGCAGCTGCGGAAAGCGGGACAAGAGCGTTATGTCCAACGGACTGAGCTGCGGGGAAAGTGTTAAAATCACCGTGAAGAAGCTCCGCGAAACTCTGTCGCCTCCCTCCACCGATGAGGCGAGGAAGCATGACAAGGGGACACCGGTGCAGGCGTTCATTCCTCCCGCATTACCAGCTAACAAGCCCGCTGCATCAAATACCGGGAGTAGGAGGGATTCAACAGATGGTGAGTCATTACGTGGTATTTTGAATCGAATACAGACGCGGAGCATTTGTTTCCTGATATTTTGTTTTTGAATTATTCTGTCACAGTCAACGAGAACATATCTCTTCACCAACCGGGTAATTAGTTGCTGTAGGGATTCATACTGAAAGGATGAGCTTGTGTTAACCCGGCTGTCAGCTTGAATCCTTAAATTGTAACTAGGGGTAAAAGTCCTAAGGCGTAAAACCGAACGGCAGTTTCTCTCTAACGAAAGGCTCGTCGTGAGCCCCCTGTCGGCCAAAACATCAGCGCCTCTCGCAGTCTCAATCAGACAGTAACCGTTTGAAAGTTTGCCCGAAGTTCTGCAAAAACTTTTTTGTTTTGCACACTTGGTTTAAATGATTTTAAACCAAGTGTGCAAGGGAGTTCGGGATAAAACTCCATTTCCAGGTGTGTGGATAAAACAATTTCATATTACTATTCGACAGTAGACCGCTAAGAAAAGTAGTTACATGTGAAAGAAAAGCCTGGAATAAACCTATTACCTGTTCCAAATAATGTTGATCTTCTAAACACATTTTTTCAATCTTTTATGGATGCATTTTAGTTTAGCATCCTCTGATACGCACACACATATTATTGTTATTACTATTTAGGTAGGTAGTTATTTGTTATTGCAAATGTTTCATGTTGCTTAGTTCTAACAAAGTTCACAGTAATGTTGATGAGTGATGCTCAGAGCTGCACTGTGCTCGTGACAGACAGGGGTACCTGTGGACAGAGCGCAGCTGCTCTGCTGAGGCCGCGGGCAGCTGGACACAGCCAGGAGCAGCAGACACGCCGCTCGGTGAGTGGCCGATAGATACCCGTGAGGCCCATGTACCACCGCGACCTTCTCCATAGACTGGGATTCATACTCCATGTTTGATTGTCTGTTGTCTGAGTGTTATAGCAAGTAAAAGACTGATTGAATTATGATTTGAGAGACACTATCCTGTTGTTTTTTAAGTGCTTCAGCTGTTAATTCTGAGGGATTTTCATAATGAAACCATCATCGTTATACCCATAATGGCAACAAACATGCAATTTGAATGGGAATTTGTATCCTTGAGGAATTTTTATTCTTAAAAAAAAGACTGCCTTATACAGGAATCGGGAATCAAACTGATAAAACGCTTAGTAATATAAAACAAAACAAAAGTGGTAAAGGTGTTATTGCAATTGAGTAATTACCCCTTGCAGTATGTACTGTTAGCACTGAGTTAGAAATGTATCTGTTGGATTTTTACATGAATTGATTGAAGTCACTCTGCCTTAACAATATTAGAAATCCAGAGCCCCTCTGCTAAAGGTGATTGCTGCAATATAGAGCCACTGAATTTGGAAAGTCAGCATTTTCAATTAGAATACAACACTACCCAGTACTGAATGTATTAAGATTATAACATTTAAAACTAAATGTTTTATTGCAGCTTAAAGCATCTGTCATGTGATCATTAGTCTTCTGATGTCTCTTTTAATGACTAACATCATGTCATTGAACTTGATAAGTGATTGTCTTCTTATGTGACTCTTGCAATCTTTGATAATTAATTAATTTAACATGCAATTATTTTTGTGCATTTTACCAATCTTTTGTAATGTCTATTTTTTATCACACTGCTTAATACTGTATTACTTGATATGTCTTTTTAAATAAGCCCATGTCTTGTATTTTGTTGGTTGTGTCCTGCCCAGGTACTACAGATGTAAATTAATTTATTAAACTCTGGTGCAGCTAAAGAGCTGTGTGCTGTCTCTGTGAAATAACCTAAACTAAAACTAAACTTCTTACTTTAACAGAGGTCTTGTAAAGACGGAAGGAAACTGAATGTCTCTACTGGTCCACCAGAGGGCAGTAGAAACAAAGGTACATTTTATACAGGTACTTCCTTGTACCCATAAGGTACTTGGCAAATAAAATGATTCTAAAATACCACCTAAGCATAGCTACTGTTAGCTTTATCAAAGACCTTTTTACTCCAAAGGAAACTTCAGGTTGGAACATGTATTTCTAGAAAACAATTATAGTAAAATAAGTAGTTATATATTAATAGTACAATGTAGTATGACCATTACTAAAATTATTAGGAATACCTTTCCAAAACAAAGGTTCTGGAATGTGGAATATTTTCTTTATATGGTATTATAGTGCTATATAAATTACAGAAGCGACATTAGCTCCTTCAGTCTTTTAGCGAGAAATTGCAGGTTCCTAGCTGAACCCTGGATTTCTGAATTAGCATTCAATGCAGCATGCTCTGTAGAGCACATGTCTCGCCCATGAGGGTGTTTTAATGAGTTGAGCTGCTGGGGAACAACACTGCAGCCGTGCACAATCAGACAACTTGATTTTCGCTGTGTTCGAACTCTGTACACTGTGGCTGATTCTTTAAACCAAATCATAAAACAACAGGGTTAGTAGCCGCAGGGGTCTGAAAAAAAAATGCTAGTTGTACGAGGGAAGCATTTTTTTCTAATCCATTCCATGTATGAGTAAGGGCCACTGATTGTTATAGAAAACCACAAATTGGAAACATCTGGGGAGGCATTAGGACATCCAGAAGCTAGCATTGCAAGAAGTGTATCTCAGAGATCAGAGAGCCACATGGCCTTAAACCATGCTGTGTAACTGGGCAGTGTTCCTTTACAGACACCCCCTCATGACGGCGACAGCCTCTGCAGAGCTGTCTTGTACACAGGTGGCACACAGATTCTCCTTTATCCCAACCCTGCAGTTCAGTCTGTTTAATTGCTGTTTCTGTTAACCAGAACTGTCAGTCACGAGGAAAACAAAACAGCACTGTCCTTATGGACAGAGTGGGAGGTTAAAGCAAGAGTAATTTTGAAATGAGTGAACGTCCAAGGTCTTCATTATTGCAGTGGTTGATATGAGATTTTAAATCACGCCAGAAACCATATAAAAACAATGTGAGTTGTATGTTATATCCAAAATGGTAACACAGGGGCCAGTAAAAATCAATATTTATGGAAAGACCAATGGAATGTGGAATAGAAAAGCTCCTGTCATGGCTGTAGTAGAGAAAAGTACTAATGTTTCATTTTTTGTGCCAGTTACTGTTGGGCATTTTATACACTGCTAAGAGAATTCCCTAGCAGATCATAGAACTCACTTACACTGAGAGTCAGTAATTTGTAGATTATTTTGCAATTATTTAAGTTATTTGATATGATGTTTCAAGGGCTGAGCAATTACAATGAGCGTGTCTTTTGCCTGCAGGACATGACATAGTGATATCCCAGTACTCTGTCGGTGGAAAAGAAGCTGTCAGGGCTGTCTTCAAAGAAAGGTAAGGGCATGGTGCCTCTCACAGGCTAGTGCCATTTCACTTTGCAGTGAGCACAGCACTGACTGAAGCAACATTTGTTAATTGAATGACAGTTATACCCCCTTAAACACAGCACAACATTTCACATCTTTATGGAAAAAAAAATATCATTAGGTTCATCTTACACATTTACTGTAGTGGTAATGGTGCATTTACATGAAGAAAATAGTGTCTTTCATGCCATGTTTAATTATCTGTTCAGGCTTTAGGAACAAGAGTGTTTGAAATTGATTCTTTGTGCTCTGATGCCTGTTTAGCTGTTTATCTTCAGATTGTTTTTTGTGAGATGCATCATGTTTTTGATGTTATGGAACCAGTTGCGCAGGTCAGCGATTCCAAACCCTAGATCCTGGGGGAGATCACTGACTTTTTTCAGTGTTTTCAAGTTTTTATGTTTAGTCACAAGCTAATTGATTTCACCTTTTCATGGGTAACATGATTCTGAACAGGCTTTTAGCTCTTACAAAGTCAAAACGGGATCTGTAATTGATATCAACCTTTTACCAATCCCTGATTTTCAGAACTCCACTCTTTAAGGTGCATTGCCCGAAATGTAACCAAGTGAACCTCTGTAGGGGAAAAAAAGCACTAATTCTAGGTGTGACTGATATACAGTGGTGTCGTTTCCATCTGTAAGTGCCATTTAGACAGAAAAAAGTATCTAAGCCATTTGAGGAGTAATGTCTTAAGTTTTGAATGCTGAACCTGTTAGAAACAGTACTATTGAAATGGGGTGTTTTTGAAACTCAGGACTAAATGCAGAAACTTGTAAGACTAAACAGGAAGCACATCAATTAAAGGCATTAATTAGTACTAGAGATTTAGAGACTTGCAGACAAAGTGGTTCCACAGGACCAGGGTAAGTAACCGGTGGTTAAGACACAAGTTAATCCAGAGCCACTGCTATGTTCTGATAACATTACTGTGCCACCTCCATCTTTAACGTTCAGAAAGCAGTTGTTTCAGCATTCGCAGCTGTGACTTTCCTTGTTTACACTATACCAGCTGTTGTGTAATAGTGAGATTTATTACTATTGAGACAGCTGGTGTTAGCATGGTTTTGTAATGTCAAAATCCCTAAATCCATTCATTGCAGAAAACAGATTTTGGCTCCAAAAATGTGTTTACAATACTAGGTGCTTATCTGCATCTGTGAGAGTCTTTCACCTTAAATTGAGAGCTGGCTAGGTACCTTTGACCTTCTTTTGAATATTAATATTATGAATATATTTTGAGATATATTAAAAACATTATGTATTTTATTAAGGAGAAAAAGATCTAAAATTCCCAGTGTTGCCTCATCGTTTTTTGTGAAATACTGGTCCCAAAAATAGCTGAACATAACAACTGTGCACGTCACAGGGCAGGAGTGAGTGAGTTTATTATTACTTGAATCCCACTAGGGTTAATGGAAGACATTAAGTGGGAACTGTGGCAGTATTTATTGCTGTTAACTTTGTGGATGCAGGGAATTTATTATACTCATCAGTATGGATTGATGAGTGAAAGCACAGCTAAAAACATGATAAATAACATAATCATAAAATGATCATTTGAACACATTGCTTCGGGTTTAGGAACATTGTGGGGGAAAAAAAGTGCTTTTGCAGTTGAGATAAATCTGCCAATAAAGGAAGGAATCCACAAATTTCAAGAATCGTATAAAGCTTAAAAGCAGACTGACATTGACTTCAGAAGCAGTTGTTCTCTGCGTGTGAAGGGTCAGATGCTCCTTGGAGACTTCTCTCCTAGAGCCAGCGTAGTACTACAACATCTCCTGAAGTGCTTGTTTTGTTTGCATTATTTGTTTACTGACTGACATGTTGTTGACTTTTCTTTCTCGCTACAAACGGAGTACCATTCAGAAATGTTTGCAAACAGTCTTTGAGAATTTGCCCAGAAACAATCAAATGCTCCTGTTTTTCTAATTTGATTATAGGTAAATGTTTCATTCCAGTGCTTTCAGAAAGATTTGTTTTGAAGTGTCAGCTGCCTCCAATCCGGAAAAGTTTTTCCGCTGCCATTTAGATTCTTATCGTTAATATGTTGTCAGAACGTAATGTGGTGGTCTGTCACGCAGTGCAGACTAACAGTAAGTTTGGCTATGTGGCTGAGGGTGGAAAGACCTCTTGTTGACCCCTCACAGTGTATCATAACTAACTAGTCGTTACAAACGCCGTGTTAACCTGCTGCTGGTTAGGAATTCAACCGGTCCTTGACGAAACATGCGTACCCATGAGCCTTCCCGAGCCAGAGCCCTGTGTTTGCTCACGTGTGGACCGCTGCAGGTGTCGGAGCGCTCCGGTTCGGAAGGCGGTGAAGGTGCAGCTGCTGGAGCCACAGGAGCCCCCCCCGGCCGGGCCCCCGCCCCCCCAGCCCTGCACAGCCGACACGGTCGCCGTGGTGACCGCCGCTGCCATTGCCGCTACCGCACCCCTGCTGAAGGTGGGCGCCGGGCTGGGTTTATTACGCCCTTGAAGATGCTCAGATACTTCTCTGAACAATTCTCTCTCGTCGGGATCTCGTTCCAAATCTAGAGACTTCTCTGGAACAGAAGCCGTTTTCAGAGAAATTAGAGCTGCTTAATTTCTTTCATTGCCTTGGCTCGTCAGCTGCTGGGCCCTGCGGTGTGGACTACTCCCAGTGTTGGGGCCAGTCTAGGATCCTCAGGGCAGCAAGCACATGGCGTGCGAATGTTCGACAGGAAGGCAGTTGTGGAACTGCATCCCAGCTAGCGCTGCCAAGTCAACAGAGCAGGAATAGAAGAGGATCAGTCTGGGGAAGTTTATTAGTCCATGCAAAAAAAGAAATACACAATGTACAAAATAGAAAAGTCTGATTTCAGACTGTTTTTTTTATTGTGTGCATCAGACGTTTGTCCCAGTGCTGTTTTGTAGCTTACAGTTGATTCCGTGCACAAAAACCCGGCAAACACCTGTCTCTCCTCAGGCCCAGCATGACTTGGACACCAAGATCTCCTCCGTGTCGGAGCTCCTGAAGAAGCTCCAGCATGTCGAGAGGCAGCCCTGCCAGGAGGAGAGGGTGGCAGAGCTGGAGAAACAGCTGGCAGCTCTCACCCACCAGCGGCTTCAGCACCTGGAGCAGATACAGCAGCAGCAGCTGGAGCTGCAGGTACTGAACCAGGCTGGGGGATGACGGTTGGGTTATACGAAGTCTTTTCCTGCTTTCTCTGTTTTTTGCACTGCCTGTCTAATTTAATTTAGATGAGCTGTTTTAGCCTAGACTAGAGCATGTAAGAAAAGCTGCCTATGATGGTATATTAGATCAGATAGGCCGTATTCCATGATTCCAAAATAAAATGTTTCAGACACTTTGGAAATTTACAATTTCGTAATTCTTGTGATTTTGTTTTGCAGTTAGCTTAAGTCAAAATATATTTAATGAGGAAAAAAGTGATTCATTTTCAGGCTACAATTGTTTCTGTTCTTGGGAAGGGCAGTGATCTTTTGATCACCTTTAGTCACAGTGGAACTGTGTGTGGTCAGCCCTTGAGAAAGAAGACCTGAAAAAAAAGAAGAAAAGGCCACAAAATAATGTGCTTTGTGTGCAGAAAAGTTGCTGCAACTTGTTTGTTATGAGGTGTTCAGCACCAATCTTGTCATGTGTTGGGCTCATCTTACATTAAGTGTTGCTTTTGTCAAAATAGTCATTCTAGACTTTGATCGCACTCTGACAGCTGTGTGGCATCAGTACAAGGATGTTTTTTGTTAACATTCAGCTGACAACTCATTTCACACATCTTGAATGCACTGCCGTAACAAGTCAGCATTAGTTAGCTCCCTCGGTGTTCCAGTCTTTGTCAAGATCCATCCAAATTAATTCTGCTGAAAAAAGCTCTTTCCAATCAAAGACCACATTTTGTATTCTAACAGACAATTTTACATGTTACTCTCTTCCTCAGTTTTGCATTTGTAACCTTATTTCCTTTTAAATAAGTAACAGTAACAGCTAAAGGAGCAATTTTGTTATCACTAACTTTTTTAAAAATTATACATTACAACTGTTTGATTACATGGCATGCATTCATATATCCTCTTCTGCCCTTTAATATGAAACCTGGTGGATAACAGATACTGCAGGATATTCAACAGGATTATAAACTGACGTGAATTGAACACATTTTTACAAGAACAGAGAATGATTGGCTGGTGTGATCATTTTTTGCAATTCAACTCTAATACTCTTAGCAAAGGGAATTTGTTTGGCAGTGATTATGTGAGTGTAGGAGGACACCTCTCTCTGCTGCAGAGAATGCAAGTTATAAGGCTCAATTTACCCAAAAGTATTTGCACTAATATTGTCAACTGGAAGTTACCAACCCAAAATTAGAGGTTTCAGGAACTTTATTGTAAATATTTTTGTATCGGTCAGCTTTCTCTCAATTAAATTACATTGGTGCTAAAATATTTCTACAAACTAATTTTATTTTAAAGATGAACTGTAAATGCAGTTTATATGGGAAATTAAGCTTCATTCATAAAAATGTTTAAATTTTTTGGAAGTCCATGGGAAATTATAAAGTAGAACCTAAACCTTTATCAGAATAGACATGTTAACATTTCATAATTTTCTGGATAAGCTTTCTTGCAGAAGGCTCTTGTTTATTATGCAGAGTATTTCTGAGTGATCCACAGGTTATCACGGTACAGTCATGGAAGGTGATCGCTGTACCTCGCTGTCTCAGGTCAAAAGCAAGCCGTTATTTCTGAAACATGCCCAAGATTGCCATATTATTAAACGCTTTCAATAAGCTTTTTCAGTAATTTTCTCTGCCCTTGCCCCTTTCCTCAGACGCGTCTGCTGGGCGGTGCTTTGAGTGCTGTGAGTGGGAGCTCGGCCCCAGCGCCCCCAGTGTCTTCTCACCTTGCTGCCCCTGCACAGCCCGGCCTGCAGCGGTTGCCAGGCAACGCCAGCCGTGATGAGTCACCCGCTGGAGCTCCGGCTTCCACCTCCACTGCAGCAGCAGGTGTGGCAATCCCAGAGCTCAGCCGTCCTCGAGTCCTGCCGTTTCCTTACATTCACTCCGACCGTCCCGTGGCTGTCACCTCTCCTTGCTGGCTTCCTAGCTGGTTTCGGTCTTGTACCTTTGCGGAAGTATTTATTCTCGCAGACATATGGGTTTGAGCCACGTGTAGTTATGGATCTGTGTAGATGTTCTGTAGAAAAGCCTCGTGCTTGTTTTCATTGTCATTCAGACTGTATGTAAATGGCACTATAAAAATATGTGTGGTGTTGAAGGACAACATTGTAAATTGTAAATTGCAACAGGATTCCCTCTGTGCATTTTTTCAGTAGTGAGTTGTATGTGAGTGTTTCTCCGTTTCTGTTTTATATGAGCTTTTGTGTTACTGTAAATTGAGAGTGCTGTTTAGATTTATAGGATCTCCATAAACAGCTCTTAAAAGCATTTTATTCTTTCCTACCTGAGCAAAGTATGGCCTGGAGCATCTCATGACATCTTGACAGCACACCCTACATGTGCCTTTGTTTTGCAATATCAACAACTTGACAGTATTTTGGTACAGTGATCAGCAGGTGTTTGCATTCAAACATTTCCTGTAATTGAAGGCCATAAGACACTGAGCGGTAAGTGTGCACTGAGCGTTATTTGGCTTGTGCCTGTGTGTTTGTAGGCTGCCCTCCCCCCCGAGTCCCCGCTGCAGAGACGTCCCCTCTGGAGACCCCAGCTCCGCGCAGGTTTGTGCCTGTGCCGATGTCGAGAGACGCCGCAGCTCGGCGCAGCCAGGAGAAGCCTGCGGTGGAGAAAAGCAAAGTGGCTTCAGGCAGGCTCGGTGAGTGTCACAGGAGCCTTCTCATCTTTACTGGTCTAGTTCATGACCTCACCACTGTGAGGAGAGAGACTGGGGCAGACTGGGGCATCTCGAGGGCTGATGTTGTTTGAACCCGACATTTTCCGGCTGAAAAAGCAGAGCTTTCACACACATTAGGAGGCTGCTAAGACTTGGGCTACATAGTCTTTAAAACCGAGAACTTGTATTTGTTTTGGATATACCTCTCCTTCACAATAAAAATATATTTGTGCAGCTTTTCACAAAGTATTTCTATTACCATCACATCATTTTCCCTGAACTGGCTATACGTCATGCTAGCAGACCTGCATGTTAAGCCTGCAAGCGACGGATTGTGAGTAATTTCCATTTTTTTAAACAAACCCTCCAAGAGAACCAGCTGTATCCTTTCAGCCACCCCATGACAACCACCAGGTGTGATTTCTTAGGTTCTGGGCATATTACTGCTTCCGTTCCCATGGCAACCAACTTGCTCAGCATAGCACCGAGGAAAGACTTTCAAGGACAAGCTCCTCGTGCTGCTCTCGGCAGTGTCTCGCTATCACGCTGCGCTTCAGGAATGGCATGGAAAGCAAAGCCATAGTTCTGCATGCCATGCTGTTTTGAGCCAAAAAAAAGGGATGTGTTTATGTTCTCAACTGTTCTCATATTCTTTGTACGTGGAAAAAAAAATCTTTCCATGATTTAAACCAGTCCAGCTAAGTGAGAAACTGCCCCTTCACCGCTCTCTGAGATGTGTTTTAGGTTTCGACTTATTATTGTGCATTATTTTTCAGTTTTCAGAACATGACTCGATGAAGTAAATGTGCTTATATGTTTTATGACCTTGATCCAGTCTAGACTGTTTTTTTTTTAATGAAAATTCATTAAGATCTTTTCTGTAAAGTAAAATAATCTGTGCGCCATGACAGGTGTGTTTAAAATGTACTTGTTTGTAGTAGTATGCTCAGGAATTGTGCCCATCGCATAGCACGGACTTTCTTTTCATATTGATTGCACACGAATACAGTAATTACTGTAGGTGCCGTGCTATTTAGCTGGAGGTTGTGAAATAATACAGGCAAGCAATTCAGTGTCTTCCACTTGAGGGCAGTAGTAGTCTCTCACAGTTTTACTTCATTCAGCATTGAGCCTTATAAAAAAGACTGGAAGCTTAGAAAACAAAAACAATAGACAACGATGTTAATTTCTTTTTCTTTCTATATATGCATATATGTTTATTCATGCTACAGACCATTAGAAAGGTTAATCATAATAAAGCAAAACTACCAGAAAATAAATAAATTGGCTATCAACAGAGTAGCTCTTGATATCCAGATCCACAAATGTAATTGTCTCTTGGCTTTTTTGCATTTTTTAGCCTTCAACACAAATTACTTTCTCCATGTTAGGGAATAGAGCTTCAGGCAGTAAAGTGTGCAAATCTTATATGAGGCATGCAGCATAGTTATTTTGGTTTGGAATGTTTATACGTTCACTGATCCATTTACTGGGAACAGGCCTCTGGTAGAAGTAAAATTTGTCCCTCCAAGCCACATATTTTTCTCAGAGAGAGAGATTAATTTAACCCTTAAGTGGTGCCATCTTACTTGATTGCTGTGATGGCATCCTCCCTAGGCTTTTTTAGGGAAGAATAGAGAGATCTGAATGATTATAATGGCAGGCTGCCCTTTTTGCAAAACCACAATCTTTGGAGTAGAAATTGTTAGTTATGTTATTCACCAAAATAAAGCCAACACATGGATTTCCTTTCCATTTTTAGAAACAAAAGCCTGCCTTTCAATAAACATTTAATGACATCCTTAGTGATCTTTTTCAACAATTTACGGTAAGCATTGGAGTAAAAGATAAAAAAATACAATATTTCAGAATGAGAGACAGTAATATATCATTTTGGTAAGAAGGAGCTATTTTTTCTCTGAATTTGCATGAATATGAATGCTTTTGCTCTCAGTATTAAGACTGAATGGTGAGGTAAACATTTTTAGAAATTGAGACATCACACACCAGTGTCTTTCAGAGTTTAGACAGCCATTTTATGTTGTGAACCATAACAATATGTGTTTTTAGCCAGGATGGTTGCTATGTACACATTAGCTTTTAAAATAATTCAGCATGGTTGGCCACTACAGGACAGAGAGACCAACATTTATGCTCTTCACAGAACAGTGGTAATTATGGAGTGAGTTCCCTGCTCCTTGGAAAGGTCAGCTCTGGGCTCTCTTATATGCCGTCTGAAGGCTGTAACAATTTTCTCATACAATTTAATCTGTCGACTGGAGTAGCTCCAGCTTGCAAGTAACTGCCAATCTTCAGTACTTGGAATTGGTTTCCCGGAATTGGAGCTGGTCTCTGGATGATAGATGTGCGTTTGTGAGCACAGAGTTAATTATGGCAAAGAATGTAGCATTTATAAGGGTGAGGAGAAGGGGGGGGGGTGGACTTACAGTTACAACTCCTTAAAAAACAGAATCGGGATCAAATACAATGGCACCCATTATCCAGGGCTTTAATAACATGATAGTGCGCCACCACACAGATGATCCTTAAAGGCGCGGATGGACTTTTTGCCTCCTTCTGTTCTTTCTAGTGAGTCATTACAACTCTCGGTGTTCACAGAGTGTAGAATTTATGATTTAGTCAGAATTTCATCAGACTGGCCTCGGTGAAGGGCCATCTGTTTTTTTCCTTCCCTCTTTCCAGCAGGGGCACAGCGCTTCTCTTGCAGATTTACAGCGAGCCTGAGACAACCTCTGCTTTCACATCTGTTCCCATGCATTTTAGCCAGAGCTATTTATTGTTTACCAGTCACTTCAAGCTAGTTGGTGGAAGGAGTCAAGTACATGAGATAAAGACGCAGCATTCAGTTACTGTCCATAATCTTTGCTGAAACCAGAAAGGTCCCACTGAGATTTCCCTTTTTTAGACATTGCCGACCTGTTCTTTACCCTGCACTTTGAAGGTGCTCTGATAATACCTTGCCGTTGAGTTTATATCGAGTGATCTGAAGGAAAATCACAATAAGGAAAATAAGTGTCCTTGCACCATTAGAAAAAGCACTTTGCATTCAGGGATACACCATTGATATTTATCAAACTGCATCTTAGCTGATCTTTTTATTATTGATGTTTGTATTTACTTTAAAAATTATATATGTCATAATTAAGAATGTCATCTGGCTTCTTTTGATGTTGAGTTTTGATGTTGATCTTGAGCCTACGTTTTATAAGTTGTGACGTACTAGGAGGAGATTATTAATTACCTTTTACATCACACGCAGCACAAAATTAAGAATCCAAGCACTTCATTCATTACTGGCAGGAGTGTTGTAACACCTGGACTCTTGTGCTACAGTGGTTTAAAAGCTGCAATGAGGGATGTTAGAGCATTACAATATCAGATATTTTAAGAGAGATTTTTTTTCCACTTAACAGGATCAAAGTCAGAATCTGTTCGGAGCCATTTTTTATTGTTCTGATTTTTGTGCTGGAAAGCAATTTTACTCAGTGCCTTAATGAAGAAAGAGATGACATGTGGAACACTATGCCATTATGATAATCAAAGGAAAACCTCTGATAGATTGTATTTAAAAAAAAAACATTACACAGCAGAGCTGGTGGAATTTTAAGTAGTAACCTATTCAGCTTTGAAATACAAAACACCGTATTGAATGCCAAAATTCTTGCATCTTTGTGCTAAAAGCCATCCTGTATTTTTAAATTGCCATCACTTGTTTGTAAGCTGTGTGCAGAGAGAAGTAAAAGGTAAAGCCTAAGATGTCTTTAATCCCTTCTCTTTGATTTCCTGGTGGTGGTATATTGTGGTTGCCATGGCAGCCAAGAGTCCCCGTGAGGAGCTAGAACATTATATCTATCTGCGGTTCCACTGTACCTCGCAGACTGTATTTTACTCAATGAAAGCAGGTTATTTTTAGTCTAGATTTTTTTTTCTTCATTTCTTAGCAATCCCCCAATAACCACTAGAAACTGCCTCTCTTTAAATTCAAAGACAAGTGTGTGGAGTATTACGCTCAAAGACCAAATGCTGGGGAAGACATTTGTGAGAAACGATGGCATTTAATCTCTGGACTAAATAATGTATTATAAATACATTATTTTTTCAGAGATTTCCTACTTTCCCATGCAAGTAAAGTTCGTTTCAAACCACACTGGCACGGCATTTTAAACTATGGTTACATGCCAGTAGATTTACCACTAATTATTGTTTATATCCCTCTTGTTTATGCAGAATACTATTCAAATATAGAAACTGTTTGTCTTTCTTGGCATGTGGTGGTTTCTTGAATTAATGCTGTTAGATCAGCTGGAAAATCACATCAAGGGCTTCAAGCACAAATTTAAAAAAAAAAAGCTGGAAAACAAACAAAGAAGCAAAAATAACCAGCCCAAGGTTACTGCTGTTGAGTATGTTATCAAAGCCACACTTTTTTTAACTTTCATGCACGTATCCTTTATGAAAGGGTGGCCTTGTGCTTTATTCTGTACCTGCTCCAGAAAGTCCACGGAGTCAGAAGTTCATTTGTTTCAGATCTTGCTCACATCTCTACTGAAAAAAGTTGGAACTGGTTCATTCAATTTCCCCAACCTGCTCGGGAACAGTTCAGTAGCTTACTTTTAAGAACATGTGGTAAAGCTCTGGTGCATGATCCTAGATCCAAGTCTAAATGAATCTTGAAAAGTTCATCAAAAAAGGTGCAAGATAAGTTTGAGAATACCAACCTGTGTATTTCTATCAAATACGAATACACATCAAATTACACAACACAAGTTTTAAAAATGAATGAAAATGGTCCGATGGGTTATTTTACATTTAAATGCAATGCAATAGACGTGTAATAATGCATAATAGTTCACAAACTAATTCACATTGCAACTGTCAGGTAAAACAGTGAAATGCCTTACTTATGTTAATTTTCTTTCTCTGTCAGCTGTTGAACGTGAAGTGCATATGTGATATATTAT